TACCGCGAGGTGCGCAGCCTTCTTGCAACGTATTTATTTGTCGCTCGAAGCCTTGGCTCATCTCGCCATCGTGTGTCGTGCCGTGCCGTGCCGTGTGTCGCGCGTTGTGTGTCGTTTCGTGTCTGAATTAGAGGACGACACGGACGACAGCGACCACGAGGACAACGGCCTGTCGTTCAGCATCAACATGGACGACGAGGACCTAAGCGCGGGCCTGCAAGACGTACGCACGCGATGCCTTCGAAACACAACACGCACGCACGCAAATTTATGACGTTTTGGCTTCGCGTCACACACACACACACACACGCACAACACACGCACACGCACACACACAGGTGAAGCTCGATCTCTCCGAGTCGGACGCCGACGATTCCGATCTCGTGGACACTGCGCGGATCAAGCGGCGCACCAGCCTCCTTTCCCGGGAGGACCTCGACAAGTACACACGCCGCACGCTCCACCGCACGCGCCCACGCCCACTAATAGCTAACCACTACTGCGCAGGCGACCACAGGGCTGGCAGTGCAGCGCGGAGGACTTCCACCGAATGCTCGCCGATGAACGCGGGCCTTTCGTTGGTACGTGCGCGTGTCATATGTGTGGCGTGTGGCGTGTGGCGTGTGGCGTGTGGCGTGTGGCGTGTGGCGTGTGGCGTGTGGCGTGTGGCGTGTGGCGTGTGGCGTGTGGCGTGTGGCGTGTGGCGTGTGGCGTGTGGCGTGTGGCGTGTGGCGTGTCTAATCGAGCTGCCCGATGCAGATATGCTGCACTACTATAGGCAGGCGTTCGCGCGTCGCTACTCCACGAGCCGACACTCGAACTCGGCCCTCTCCGCAGCCGTGAGCGACGTGAAGCTCTTCATCAAGTTCCTCCTCGACTTCCTCGTCAACCTCGCCGACGACCTGTCTTTCTTCGAAATGAAGGCACGGCCTTATTATTTCCTCTGTGCTTATTTATTATTTATTTATTTATTTTTAATAGATCTATTATTATTAGTAGATAATTTTCTGATTTGTGGGATGGTGCTCGGTCGCAGGAAGCGGTGGCAGGTGAGGTGATTTTCCCGCTGCTCCACGACATTCTGTTCGAGCGCATCAAGGCCAACCACACCCACAAGAACAACTTCGTCTCCAAGAAGATGGCCTCCTTCCAGCACCTCACCCTCGAGGTACACCTTCCGTGCGTGTTGCGTGTTGCGTGTTGCGTGTGTCGTGACGCTGTGCTCACGATGTGGTACTCGGTGGACAGGACCTGGGCGCCCCGGAGGAGTGGCGGCTGAAGGGAGTGTCGCAGCCCTACGCGCCGCAGATCGAGGCCCTCAAGCAGCTGCCCCGCTTGCCCTCGCCCTACCTCAAGGCCCGCGTACGCATCGACCTCATCTCCCCAACCGCATGTCATGTGAAGCGTTGCTGACCATCCGCGGTGTGCAGTTGCTCCAGGAGGTGTTCGACGATGTTGTCGCAGAAGCCGATCAGCACCATCGCGGAAAGTACGCACCACCGCACACGCACGCAGGAGGCGCTGCTTACACGCACACGACGCTTTTGTCTGGCAGGGTCAAACTTGTGGCCGGCTTCGATGACACGATCGCGGTCATCCAGTACCTGCTGCTCAAGGCGCAGATCCCGCACATCTACTCGGAGTACTACTTCATGGACGTTTTCCTCGAAGAAACCACCAACGACGGTACGTGGGACACGCGACACGACACACACGGCATGCGCGTGCTCACCTTGACTCTTTGAACCTGCGCGAAATAGAGCTGGCGCTGCGCTTCGTGCTGGGCAAGCTGGGCGGCTTCATTCAGATGATGTTCGAGGACAACATGGAGGTGCCCATCGGTTCGGTGAAGGACGCGCTCATCGAAGCCGTGGCCGAGCGGGAGTGCCCGGAGGACACGGCCCTCATCGCTTCTATCTTCTCCCACATCGCCGAGGTTGGTCTTTTTCGTTTGTGTGTGTGTGTGTGTGTGTGTGTGTGTGTGTGTGTGTGTGTGTGCGTGCGTGCGTGCGTGTGCGCCGTCCTGTCTCTCACCAATGTCTTCGCTGGTGGGCGTCGTATGTGCAGGTGGTGGACAAGGACCACTCGCCCTGCCTCGTGCCTCGAAAGATCCGCGAGGAGCTGCAGAAGGCCGTAGCCGCCGAACGCCAGCGACCCGCCAAAACGTACTATTATTCATATTATGTATAGTATGTTGTACATACAATCTGACCGACCACCACCGACACAGGAGCCCAATGATGTCGCCAGCCTTCTCGCCGGGCACGCCGCGACGCTACGGACCGACGGCCGCCAACAACATAGGCAGAGTGTTCCAGGGCGGCGCCAACGAGATCGTGATCGGCTCCAAATCCCGAGAGGCCACTATGACCCCCGGCGGCGGCGGCGGTTCGATGACGGCCGCCGGCAACGGAGCGCAGAAGCGGGCGGAGGATAGGGAGGCCAAGGTCAAGAACGAAGAGGAGGAGATGGAGGAGGAAGAGGAGGAGGTGGCGCGCCGACGTGGGTCGGCCCGGTGCTGGGCATCGTGGGCGTGGTGCT